TATGTGCGGAGGCTGGGGCAGGCGTATCAAGATGGGCAGGAACCTGAATGCGCGATGGTGCCAGTTCCTGAATAACTACGGTGTCTGTTGTCGGACAGACAACAATTCCGTCAGAAACGCCATTGCACGGAGCCGAGCGGAAAGGGAAGGAATTCTCATCGAATGTAACATGACGGGAAGTGATCACTCTTCGTGTATCGAGATCGAAGCAACGATAACCGCGGTGGTCAGTGGGATACCCCAGCAGCACGCAAGCAGTGGAACGGGGAGCAAGCTTATGAGGCATGGTGGCTGCCTGATTAGGAAAGCAAAGACAGCCGAAGACTCTGAGGTGGTCATAGCTAGGTGGGGCGCCGAGCAAACGCTGGAATGGCGTGGAGGGACCAGTAGCTTGGCACGGACGCCGATTAAGAAGATGCGTTGCTGTGGATAAGGCTTCAGCCCAGAAAGAGGGAGGCGTGCCGGCATGCAGGAGCAAACTGCGAACGCAGTCGTTCAGAGTGCGGATGATACGCTCTGCAGTGCCATTCTGGGATGAAGTGTAGGGATAGGACAAACGAAACACTATGCCATGAGTAGCAAAGTGAACACGTAATGCTTGATTATCGAATTCTTTTCCGTTGTCAGTTTGGAAGGAGAGAATGGGAAGCTGAAATTGAGTAGATACATATGCGTGGAAAGACAAGATGCAGGCAAATACATCAGCTTTGCTACGTAGGGGAAAAGTCCAGACATAATGAGTAAGATCATCAATCAAGACAAGATAATATTTAAAACCAGAACAACTAGGAACCGGCGACGTCCAGACATCAGCATGTATAATTTGAAAGGGAACATAACTGACAGATACAGAAGAAGAAAATGGTAGTCTGACATGTTTACCAAACTGACAAGATGAACACACATGTGAAGAAGACTTAGAACAGCTAAAAGCGACATGATGCAGAGTTTGACGAAGAGCATGACGCCCCGGGTGACCCAGCCGCAAGTGCCAGAGATCAGCAGTAGCAGTGGTGGCAATGAGTGCTTCCGGCGATGACGGTGCCAGGGGGTACAGGTCGCCGCCGCTGTTACATCGGAGCATCACCATGCAGGTTGGTAGGTCCTTGATAGAGAAACCATAGGGGTCAAACTCAATGGAAACATTGTTGTCACGAGTGAGGGATCGAACGGAAATAAGGTTTTTAACTAAAGAAGGAGAAACAAGGATGTTGTTGAGTTGAAGAGGAGAGTGTGCTGTGGCAATGGCAGTAGAGGTGCGATGAGTGACTGGTAGGGTGGCGCCATTGCCAACAGTGATAGAAGGAGATTTAGAAGGGTGGAGAGGAGAAGAAAGATTACCGGTGTTGGAGCTCATGTTCGACGTCGCGCCGGTGTCGAGGAACCATTCCGAGGCTTGTGGTCCAGTGTTCGGCACGTCGGATGTCGCGAGGGCGACGAGGAGGGCCTGATGGTTCCACACGTCCGGCGAAGGTGGAGGTACGACGCCGGGGGGTGCGTACATCGGCGGCGGGGGCACGGTGCCAGCGAGGTAAGCCTGCTGTGGCTGGGTGCCGGGGCGTGGACCCAGAACTTCAGAGCCCGGGACGCGGAACGGCATGGGCCAGGCCTGCACCATGCCGGTCTAGGGGTTCAGCCCAGGAACCCACGCTGGAGCCTGAGGACGAGCAGTAGAGGTGGTGCCGGAACCGCTTCCTTGACCACGCCCACGACCTTTCTTCTTGGGCGCACGATCAGAACGTGGAGCTGAGGCGGTTGCGGGCACTGACGGCTTGGAGACCGAGCTGGAACCGCTATCGCCGGAGACAGCAGAGGTGGAACGTGTGCCGACAGTGGCGAGCAGAGCTTGGTGATGCGCCGACTTCGCCTGCTCCTTGTCATACTGCTCCTCCAGCAGCAGATAGGAGCGGGCCGACAAGAACGTGTGCGGCGGGTTCTTCGCGGTGATCACGGGGACGATGTGCCGGTACTTGGAGCTGAGGCCGCGAAGCATGTTGAGGACCTGCGAGGTTTCACGGACCGGCTGGCCCACGTCGCGCAGTGCGTCGGACAGCTGCTTGAGTTTGCCGGTGTAGGTCGTGATGTCCATGTCGCCCTGGACAAGGTTTCGGAACTCCGCCTCCAGGTAGACTGCCCTGTGGAGCTCGTTGTCCGTGAACTGAGCATGGACGGCGTTCCAAATGGAGTAGGCAGTAGCTTTGGGAACGCGAACAATGGCGCGGACATCTTTGGCCATGGAGTTGTAGAGCCAACTCAAGATGCACTGATCTTTCATGACCCAGTCCGGATCACGGCGGTTGTCGATGGTTGGCGGAGAGGAGAGGTGACTGCCGAGGCCGAACTTCCCGATGAAGGCGTCAAAGAAGCAGCGCCATTCGGTGTAGTTCGATTCGGCGAGGTTGAGCTCGATGGGGACGTGCGTCTTGATGTTGACCGTCTGCAAGACAGCCGCCGTCGGCGTGGGGAGGACAGGAGCGTCGAAGGAGGCTTCGTAGGAAACGCTGGAGCCAGAGGAGGAGGAATCGGCGTCAGACTGGTTGAACTCGAAGAGAGGATTGACGTCCATGACGCTGGGAGGATGAGCAGTGGAGGACGGCGTCGCCGGAGGCGAGCGACGGTTGCGGAAGGGAGGCGAGCAGGATCAAGCTGCGGCAAATGATACCATGTAGAGAATGAGAATGTGGCCAACAACTGTAGTATTGCATCTCATTGAGTATATATACAAGTTACAGCCGGGAGTGCGTGGTGCGCACGATCGTGGGCGACGTCAGTCACCACAACGAGAAGCTAAGCTAATTGTAGGACGAGTACAGACTGAATACAAGCCTGACAGACTGAATAACTGAATGTCTCAACACTCTCATCACATAGCTTAAGTAAAAGGCCTGCAGTCAAAGTGTCAGTGAAAGATTCACAAGGATTGAACTGCAGAGGAAGCCCGCTGATGGCCTCGACGCAGTCACTAGCGTCATATCCTATTCCTCACGGCTCCGCCTCTAAAGATACCATTTCTAGATGAAGGGCTTTTTATGAGCTTTTACAAATGGAGGTATTTCCTGAGGCAGCTAGAAATTCTACCGTCTCATTTCTAAAGATGATTAACAATATGGTCCACCTATAAAAATAGGTGCAACATATTCCAACTCAAGTCAGATAAAAACAAACTTTATAACGAAGTTATAGTACTCGAAGATCTACAATTTTATAGTTGATGACCTTTTTATTTCAAATAATTTAAATATAAAAAATTGTTAATTTCTTTTATAATTTTAAATATCTATAACTTTGCAGTTAACTACTTTTTATTTGAAATTACTTAGTACCCTGGAATTTTGTTTAAGTTTTTAGATTTGATTTTTTTAAATTCCAAATTATCTTGGATGGAGAAACGACGTAAGACAAAGTCGTAGCACTCGTTTGCATCTTTATAGTTAACGACCTTTTCATTTGAAACTATTTCAGGTCTAAAAATTTTATTTTTGAGTTTTTACATTTTGCGTTCTCAATTTTTTTTTTCATATTACCTCGGATGGAGAAAACCTGAACCAAAATTATAGTACTCAACGAGATCGAAAACTTTTCAGTTGAAACTTTATTCATTTGAATTTGTTAGGCTCAACTATTCATTACAATATTAGTTAAAGTGTTGTATCAGCATATTGGTCACTAATGATTTGAGGTGGAGTGATAACGAAGCAGCGTGTATGACCTAAGGCAGTGACTTCGAACCCCTATGGCCTGGTAAGCCTCTCTCTAGGCGGGCTAAATAGCCGCCGCTACGAACCTATTTTACTCGTCTCTAAAAATGTTTTCCGTAGTAGTGTGTCTATCTTTGGTTAGCTGGTGGTGAACATGCATGGTAGCTTGGAGTTTTATGTATGACAAGGGACTAGCTAGGTTGGGATCGAAAGAAAAAATTTATGTCTACTGTGGCTACTTTGATAGATCATGTATGAAATTGAGTCTAAAATAAAGTATGAGTTGAAATGGCCAACTTGATAGTTTAGGGATGAAATTGAATCCAAAACTAAACTTTATGGAGTGAAATGGACACTTTGTATTTCATCGGACGATAGTTAAAGGATCAAAATGGCTACTCCTCCATATTTGAAGGCTTAATGAAAATGAATGCTTGAAAAAATTGTTTAAGAAAACCATATTGATTTATCATAAGGGCTATGCAAATTAAACATATTTTTATTTAGCACAGTGGTATTTGGCAATGCATTATGACCCAAAAGAAGCAAAAATAATTAACACATGGATGAAGAAGTGCTTGTATGCAAGTTAGAGAGTTCTTATGTAGTAGAAGCTTAATGACATGGGGCATATGAAGCACCTTAAATTCAATCAAGTTTTTATTTTGAATGTCCTTGTTGTGCTCATTTTTAAGATAAGTGTTCATGAATATGCTCATAGGTGATTCGATGTGTATGTGTTTGTGTCTCTACATTGTTTCAAAGAAAAAGGTCTCCAGCCAAAAAAAAGATGCAACTATAGAATAGTGCTAAGTTAAATGGTTTGAAGTTTGGCTAAATTTATATTAAAAAATACAATAATATTTGTCATACTAAATAAGTATCACAAGATTCGTCATAAAATATATCTTTAATATGCCTATTTAGAGCGATGCATGTTGATAATATTTTCTACAAATTTTGTCAAAATAAAGATAAAGATAGTTTGATCAGGCATGAATTGTAGATTATCCTTTTAAGACAGAGGTAGTACATTCTACACGAGTCCATGTCTTCTTGCACGTGAGAACAAATCGGTACAATCAATATATAGAGAAAAAAACTATATTTTCTTCGCGATGTTAATCACTCATTTTGAATGATCAACGACGTCACGTCTTGACCAGTAATCTTCCGGTTCATTCCTTTCGCCTCCGACGTCAATCCATCTGTTTAATCGTATCGTATGTTTTCACTTTTCAGCCATTACAAATCTAGCATTCACCTCACCTCCAATAGATGGCGAGTCGGTGACGCGTGTTTCTACGTCCACATGCGAGCGACGCAGCCGGACAGGAAGGCGATGAGCCGGCGCGCCGAGGCTGCTACGGACGCGGCGCAGAGGCACGCTGGGTCCCCAGCGCCACCGCCGCAGCATTCCGGCCACGGCCGCAGGAGGATGCGGCACCGCCGGCGGTGCAGCAGCCCCCTCCACAGCCTGCTGAGGCACCCACGGTCCCGCGGCGGGACGACGATCGCCGACTGGAGGTACGCCGACGCGGCGTGCTTCAGCAGCTGGTTGCGGATGTTGATGTTGGACGCGTCGAAGTCGATCGCGGCGGGGCCGCCCGCGTCCCCGAAGCTGCCGCCGCCGCAGCTCCGGGGACCGGCCTCGGCGAGCACGTCCCGGAGGCTCGTGTACTCGACGCCGCCGCCGCTCCCGCTGCTGCTCCAGCTCGACGGCCGGGACCGGACGGCAGCGCGGGGCGGAGACGGCTCTAGCGGCTGGGTCTCATCAGCGTCCATGGTCCACAATTCAACCTCATCTCATGTATTCGCTTTTGTTTATTATAATATATAAAACAATCAAAAGCCTTTGACGTGGAAAGGATAAGGATGAAACAGATAGCACGATTAAGCAGTTCTATGAATGTGCTTATTTTCTGAAGGCTCTGCCTAAATGTAGGGAGCCTGGTTGACCTTGCGTCCTTGCACATAGGTGAGGAAATGCCACCTGGAAATGGAATGGGTTGTCTGCATTTAGAATTGTACTAACATGCTTGCTTTAGGGTATGTTTGATACTATAAGAGCTAGTAATTGTTAGCCAACTGAAATATATAAGAAGTATCTTGCATTAAGAAGTATTTTGCACAAGATTTTATATTTTTTATGAATATGCAGAAGAGTATTTTCATGAATGTGTAGAAGTGCTGTGACCCTTGCATTACACTAAAAAAATATCCTTCTACATGACAGTTTACTTTGGTCACAGACAAGCGAAAATGCGTCACAATTAACTCACCATGACGATAGAAAAAAAAACATGTATTCTGTGTCATATATTTGTTGGCCTAAATTGAGCCGTCACAGATTGGAATTTGTGTTCGTCATAAAATAGTTGTCTGCATCTTATAACCAGCCCAGATCCAAACCATACTGACAAAAAAGAACATCACAAACTAGTGCCAAATCATCGCTGCTTTAACATGCATCACAGCTCATGAGATATACCAAACATTAATCCATTCATGTACACATTGGCCTAGCTCACAACCATTTAGTTTGACTATCACAACAACTAAGTATGAACTTAAAGATTTGATCTCCAGGGAGTCTAAAATAACTAAACTTTAGTATCCACGAGCACTTCAATTGGCTTGTTGTCCATAAGATGTGCTTCCTGAAAATCAAATGAATATAAGATAAGTCAGTTTTGCCAGCAAAGATTCTAAAAAGAAATGTCATCTATTTATTACGAAGGTTTGAAACTAGTTAACTAGTTCAATGCATATATTTTTAAGAGGCCAACAAGTAGAGCATGAGAATCTAAATATGATAGAAACAGCTTGTAGATGAAATTTGATATATACACTTATACAGTAATGGACTGAGGTGTTGGCTGATTTGCATCTATGTCAGTTGGTGGATGCGGCATCATCCCTTGCTAGATTGGAAAGCTAATGTATAAACAGAGAGAAAATTATTTGACTGTACAGTACCAACTTATACATACACTTGAAAAATTGTTATATTTAGAATACTGTGGTAGAGATGAAAGATAAATGACTGAATTTTTTATATCTTCAGACAAGATAGACTCAGCGTGGCAATTTTCTATACATGTGAAAAATTATTATATTTAGAATACTACATGTCCAAATAAATAAATGGCACGCAGCAACACTATTGATTAGATGTGCTTCACACAGTCAATGGTAAGCAAAGGAAAAGGGTAGAACATATAATGGAGATAATTATCACGCACATGTGCAAAATCATCTAGTAAATTTTAATATTGCAGGTACACTATTAACTACCTCCATCATCTAGTAAATTGTAGTATAAATACCTGTGTTTATTTGTCGTTCCTCAGTCTCTGGATCTTCTTGTTAGCCTTAACCCATTTACTTATCTGTAACATAAAACACAATGGCAAATGAGTGCAATTGATAACTTTATTTGTACTATAACGTTAATTGTTTACAGAACAGTGCAATTGACAACTTGCTCATACATGTAGGCCACAGACAATCTGAAGATGCCCTTGTATCATTCAAAGACTTGTTATACATACTGCATCTTGTACTATCAAAAATCCAAAGTAGCCGAGCTTCATTACAGAACAGTGCATCAGTTATCATCGTAGCCTCAGTTACCAAATGACTAGAAAAGACAGGCTATTAAGAAAGAACGTATTTAATTGAAGTGATCGACACCACATGTTATCTAAAAAATGCAAAGTGTTGTCCAAGTTCAGCAGCCACTCGTCAAGCAAAGTCACGTACAACTCAATTACCGGATTTCAAATTTAGTAACTTCAGTGTTACAAAAGTTCCAGAAATCTGTTGAGCACAATTTAAATATAGAGTTTTGATCTACCAAGTGTGAACAATGTTGCTACTCTCCAAAGGGTGAACAAAATAAAAGGTTTGCAATCTGGTCTGAAATGAGAGTGAAAGTGCATTTGCCCTCTATGTGGGTTTTGGTGTATTGATGACATCCAAATTAGGGACTAATGTGATCTTAATAAGATATGTCAGGCTATTAGTCCCATGAAAGACTCAAAGAGTTAATAAAGATGAAATGGTATCCCTCAATTCTTGAAGTTGTAAAGGCGGACGAACTCAAAGCGCTCTCCAAAGATTTTATATGTTGTTTTGAGTTTAGGATCCGCCGCACTATAAAGAGGGATTTAAACTTAGTTGGTATGAGGAAGATATAGTGCTCAAGTATAAAAATAAAATTAAAAGAGAGACACTCTAGCACTTCAGAGCACGTAGAATATCTTTTCGAGACTTTTGGTGTCAGAACTCTCGACGAAAGTCGGAACTCCCGACGGTCGAAAGTCCCGACTCAGGTCGGAAGTCCTGACGTCCAGTCACTTAGCCTGCGTGGTGACTGTGGCTGTCGAAAGTCCCAACGTGAGTCGGAACTCTCGATGGTCGGAAGTCCTGACTCAGGTCGGGAGTCTCGACATCTGGACCATGGCTAGCTCGCTGACTGCTCTCGTCGAAAGTCCCGACGTACGTCGGGAGTTCCGACATTGACTTGCTCGTAGTGACTTTGACCTAGCTGTGAACAGTGTTTTTTTTATAGGTCAGAAATCCCGAGATCTACGTCGAAACTTTCGACGTAGATCTTTGGATTTCTACCTTGAGTATAAATAGCTCTCCCCTCTCTTCTAACCGTGACTCACTCATTTATTGCAACCTACTCACGGTCAAAACAGCTCCCAAGCATTCAAGGCTCCCCTCTCCTCTCCCCTTTGCTCCAATCTTCGATTCCCCTAGAATTTTGAGTGAAAGGAGAGTGGATTGAGTGAGAGCATCACTTTAGCAAGCTTGAGTACTCGATTTCTTCATCAAGCCGGTTGGATTTGCGTCTATTACTCTTGGGGCTTTGCCCCTAGCCGGCTAGGCGTCGCCCAAAAGCTTCCATCTTGTGGAAGAGCCTTGAAAAGTTTGTATTACCCTCAATTTCTTAGTGGGAACCTCGAATGACCTTTGTGGTTGTTTTGAGAGAGGCAAGGAGGTAAAAGAGACTCCAACCTTTGTGGTCACCTCAACAGCGAGGACGTAGGAGCTCCTTTGTGGGGTTGCCGAACCTCGGGATAAATCCTTGTGTCCCGTGTGCTTGTTGTTGTTGAGACTTGTGCTATCACTTTTATTCTTGTGTGTCTCTTTCTCTCCCAAAGATTTTCTTAGGATTTGGACTCGATCTACGGAGGGGTGACCTTTCAGCGTCAAAGGAGGAACCCCAACGGGTTACCTTACCACTAGGAAGTGGGGTTGTAAGTTATCGAAGTCATAAAATTCATTTTAGCACTTGTAGTACATTTCCCGTAGGCGTCGGGACTTCTGACAGTTTGCGCCGGAACTTCTGACGACGTCGAGAGTTCTAACCCAAATTGTCGGGACTTCCAACAGTTGCTGACAAGTGACTTTGAGTTTTGTGTAGAATTTTTTAGATACGTCTATTCACCCCCCCTCTAGGCATTGTTTAGATCCTTTCAGAGAGGAGTAACACTTATAATCAAATAAAAATCTCTAGTAGCAAACAAGCCACTGAGAACTATTGATATAGTTCAAGCAACTAAGTAGGATGGCAAATATTAAACAAAGACTATTAGTGCATTTGCAAGGGGCACTTAACAAATGAGATATCGGTGAAGAGCACTATTGTCGCTGCTCACCTGAAACTGAACACAAGCCCTGCTCCTTGTTGTGCTGAACACAAGATTCTACTGATAATTTCAATCCACATCTTGCAGGAAGACCAAAACAAGTTTTGCTCATAAAACCATACACTTAGGTTTAGATCTACAAATAGCCAAATAGGTAAAATTAGGGTTCTAGTGCTCAGTTTTACCCAAATGAAGGGAAGAGAAGGGATAGGCATACCTGGTGTTGTGAGTGCACACCGCTGCAGGTCTGGATGCCAGGGTGCTAGGGTGAAGCCATGGCTAGGGTTGGGGTTCGAGCAGGCACAGCAGGGTCAGAGCGAACAACGGAGCAGGCGCGGCGAGTCAGGGTGGGGCCGGAGCCCTAGAGACCACGCTGGTGCTATGGGAGAAGAGGGAGGAGGCGGACCTGGGGTAGGCGGCTGCCATGGGAGGGGGCTGATGGTCCTAGGCTTCATCGGCCGCAGATCTACAGAGAGGGCATCGGCGGTCGTGGCAGAGGATGGGGATCGGGCCGTGGTGGACGTCGGCGGCCGCGACAGAGGCGGGTGTCGCGACGGAGGACGACGGCGGCGGCTTCGAGTACGTGAGGCGGTTATGTGTTGAGAGAAGCTGAGGATACGGTCTCAAGGGAGTGCGGGAGGAGATAAGGTGAGTGGGGTTTTTTCTTTTTTTTCTCATGGATTTATCAACTTAGATACAAAACGTCACAGAGTAGAACTTTTTATGATGATTTGTTATAACGTCATATCTAAACCGTCATGTACCACCATATTTCTTGTAGTGTTAAGAAGTATTTTGCACAAGATTTTCTTAATTTTTTTTAAGTTTGGTTATCAATATTTGTTAATTTTTTTAATCTCTAAAGCTATTTAGTTTGGGAAAGTGAAAGGCGCATGTAAATTTGTCTTGAAACAATTTCATAATATCATATCTTTTGATTTCATTATATATTTTAGTGTTACTATATTGGTCAACGACACATTGGTATCCAAATATTAGGTTTCCATTTGGAGGAAATATCTTTTCAATTACACCATAGACTCAGCTAAGGGCAATCCCAATGGAAGAAACTGATGCGGTTTCCATAACACAAGAAATCATCTATAGAAACTATTTTCCACAGTGGAGGTGTCTTTGTGTAATAATTATTTTCTCTTTCTCTCTCCCAACTCTATCTTCTTCCTCCAATGGGAGTATGGCACGAGCCCCCTGGAAACTGGTGGTTTCTCCCCAATGACGATTTCATGGTTTCTTGGTGCATTGGGTCAAGAGAAGACCTGATTTCTTCATGAGGAAACCATTTCTAGGATTTTTGCTCTCTTTCTTCATTAATTACGTTGCCATGTCAGCATTTTGCCTACGTGGCAAGTCATTTAATGAGGATAGAAACCATCATCAATACACCATTGGGACTGCCCTAAGGCCCCGTTTGGATGTCAGTTGATTTTGAAATCAAGTAAAAAATCTTAGAATCCCATCCAAACAACTCAAGTTCTACTGGTGGGATTTTAACACAGAGATTTTTTTTTAGAATATCATAATCCATTGAAACATGGATAATAGAAAATAGTGGATTCTAAGAATTCTTATCCAATCTAAACGGGCTGTAAATAGCTTGTCTACATCCATCAGAACCTATTCATGCCACATTGCCACATCACATGATAACGGCCACTAGTTCCAATTTTCAAATCAAACCCATAGTAGCAATGAGCCTAGCCCAGTTGGTTGTTTTTTTTGTAGTGGAACGTGCTATCCTGGTTGAAGTATTCGACTTAACGTGTGCGTTCACATTTTTTTCTTTTTTCTTTTATTTAATGGCATCGACAACAACGAGGTATTCGTGTACATGCCTTCGTAGAGGTACTCATAAAGGTAGGATGTGTACATGTCTTCGTAGGGTGAGCGTTTACGTATTTATTGTGTTTTGGGGAAAAATTAACCCTATTATGTGACCCCGCACAGATGAGTGAAGCACTTTAATTTGGATTTGGACTCAACAAAATTATCAATCAGCTAGAGCTTAGCGTCACCTAGGACTTCAAAGATCACGAGGGTGGCTTCTCTTAGGACTTCAAAGAACACGAGGGTGTGTTTGGCAACCATATGAGAAGGGGTATGTGAGTTAGTGGAAGTCAAGCTCTAAGTATCTTTTACCAAAGGAAATAATTCCAGAGTTAACTCATTTTTATTCCTGTTTTTTGAATGGAATATATGTCAACGGTACCATGACCGAACAATCATCCATCCTTCTTTCCTTTCAGAATGATTATCCATTGTTAAGATTGCACATATTCTGACCAACTTTCTGTTGGAATTTTCAGATACTACCTAATAAAACATTGCAAAGAAGGGGAACGCGAAATCATATGGCTTCATGGTAGATACACAGTGCATGTGAATGCTACCCATTTATTTGATATTCATCAGGGTAGCAATTGCTCATACCCTTAATATACGATGCAACAAGGTCGCATAACACTACGGTGACCTAATTAGCTAGAATCCCCTGCTCTGTTATTTCTTTCAGGGCGAGATGGGTGCCTACCAAAATGCAGCTATCTCTGGGCCTGTTTTATTTGATATTCATCAGGGTAGCAATTGCTCATGGTGTTTTTTATACGATGAGAAGGTCGCATAACACTACGGTGACCTAATTAGCTAGAATCCCCTGCTCTGTTATTTCTTTGAGGGCGAGATGGGTGCCTACCAAAATGCAGCTATCTCTGTTCGGAGGCTTCACTCATCCATACAAGTCCCGGCCGCATCTGTCACAGACTGGCTTCTCTGCCACAGATTCTGGCTTTTTTATCTGTTTCTGCATCTGTGGCAAGTCATGCTCCAGCACGTCACTAAGCGCCTTGGATGCTTCTGCAAGCTCCTCAGGACTGAAAACCATATACGGAGTATGATTTAGGTATCAGTCAGCGGACAGTTTCTGGTTCCGAACATATAATCATACTACCATATGAATGAACAAGGGTGTGACCATAAAGTACTTAGGTGAGGGATCATACCTGATTGAGAGAGGAGGAGCAAGTCGGATTATAGTGTCGTGTGTGGGTTTCGCTAAAATGCCTCTCTCCTTCAACTTGATGCAGATGTCATATGCAGAAGCAGGAGATAGCGCGTCATTGTTTAAATCCACTGCGTTCAGCAAACCCCTCCCACGCACTTCTCTTATGATTTGAGGGAATTTCTGTTGGACCTTCTGTAACTGGTCCCTAAACTCCTGTCCTAACTTTGCAGCCCTGCAGTGGGTCAGAAGAAAATATCACCGAGTGGATAATAGTACTCCGTACAAGATAATCTGACAAACAAAGTTTCTTAAGGGAATGTACCTTTCAACAAGACCTTCGTCTCTGACCACTTTCAGTGATGCAACTGCCACAGCGCTGGCTAACGGATTCCCACCGAATGTACTGTAAGTAGTCAAATATAACACATTCAGGAGCAGTACACATACAGAATTGTTATACAGGAGTAACACAAACTATGTTCGAACCGAAAGACAACCAAATATTCCTTAGATACAAGCAAACATAAGTTTGATATCCTTTAGACATCGAACTAAATTGGTTTGCTAGAAAAGATTAGAGATTTGGTCATACCTTCCATGTTCCCCTGGTCTGATACACAGCATGACATCCTTGTCTGCAAGAACTGCACTGACTGGAACAACTCCAGCACCGAGTGCCTTGCCTAGAATCTGTAGAGCAAAGACAATTTGAAACAGTAAGTGGTTGCATACTCTGAAGCAAAATGGGGAAGTGACCAGCAGATACTTATGTAATGAGTATAGTTAATAAACAAGAGTGTAGCAGAAAAGAAACTTACCACCATGTCAGGCCGTATGTTTTCCCAATCACATGCCAGCATTTTACCAGTTCTAGCTATGCCAGTTTGGATCTCATCAGCAATCATCAAAATGTTATGTTTAGAACACAAATCTCTGACACCTTTCAAATAGCCATCTGGTGGGATTACTACCTACATGTATAACATGAAGATCAAATTAAAAATTGTGAAACTAAAAAAAACATTAACCATTAATGATAACTGAAACAAAACACCAAGGAAAAGTGCTATAAAATCAAACCAAAACTATATATTTGAAATCAAATTGTTCCTGGTTTACTTTACCACCAGTCCACCACAGCTAGCAAAGTATGACCAAAAGTCGAAATCATCCAAACCAGATGAACAAAAATACAGTAGTTAGTGAAAATACGTTAACCCAAATGGTATGGGACACATTCCAGGAGGAATGTACAGAAAACTTTGAGTTTATAGTTATAAAAGACATGGACTTATATCTATGTGTTTGCACTAACACATCAAATGAATCTTGAATCTTGAGAGTGAAAAAGAGAAACATATTGAGAGCTAAATCGATAATGTGCACAAGCCTCTGTTGTACTAATGTTAAACAATTCCTTTTTCACACAGCTGGAAGAAAATATTATCACAAAGAGCTAAGGAACGCTCTATGCCATGGTTGCTGAGAAGCACAGTTACTTTCTCTGTTTCTCAGTCTACAGGAAATATTTGAACTATACCTTCTGCTCATTCCTTGATCACATATAGGATCAATGGATATCTAATGCAGGATTGCAATGCAAGGATTGCTGAGAAGCAATTTGTTTATAGGTGTAAAGTAAATATGTGGGCTAATATATGTTCTACTCTTTCCTTGGTTGAGTGTAGGTGTAACAGAATATCTATTGTACACAATCATTCAATGGATGATGCAAAGCGATAGTACTGCTGTGTAGGAAATATCTGAGGTAATGATTTTTTTTTTGCTAATTCCAGGGTTACCTATAAGTGGATATCTAACAGATTAACATAGAATATAGCACCATATCCTACGAATTAACTCGTATTTCGAGTCAACGTATGGACTCTTCCTGAGGGTCCTTTGCTGCAGGGCTCTTAGTGGTGAATCCGGGGGGTGATAATTGCTAGGAAGTGGTTAGTTTCTAACTGTAAATGAAATATGTGCTCAGAACAGTCAATGCCAGATATAGCATGATAAAAACATACCCCAGCTTCACCTTGGATAGGTTCAAATAAAAAACCACAAATCCGATCTCCATGCTCTGAAATAAATAGTAATTGTCAACATGCAGAAACACGTAAACTAAAACCGTCTGTTTGGCAATGTTAAACAGATAAATTACCTTCAAAGATTTTCTTTAACCCATCAATATCTCCAAAATCAACTTTAAGATGGCCAGGAACCAAAGGACCAAAACCACGAGTTGCATCGTTGTCACAGCTCATGGAAATGACACCAAGAGTTCGACCATGGAAACACCCACAGCAAGAGACAAGCAAAGCCTGCAAAGCAGCAAACATTTTGGCAAATTAGTGAATTTTCTACTTTTGAAGATGTGAAATTTATGGTCTATCAAGATATGGCCTGCACCAAACTTGCACTAAACGGAATTAAGAATAAAAAGAGTATGTGTCTTTCCAGATTGTTTGCTCATATTAAACTTTCTGAATTTATTTTGATATAATTATATAAGAAGTAAAATAGGGGTTTCATGATATATAAGTAGGACAATCAAAAGGAAAAAGGGCAGGTACATGATTTGCATCTAAGTATATCTTAGAGCACATCATCCAGAAGTCCACAGGCTATGCAGTAACAGGATTTTAAGAATCGATGGATGCAACCTCGTCATCTAGTAAGAATTTACTTAAAGCTTACAACAGCTTTGTAGTCACAAGATAGAACTTCAGGGAAGCACAAGCAAATCCAAGTATGGAAAAACTGCACACCACTATCAGCACCCGAATTGAACAAACAATCTTTTTTGTCGGGTTATACCTCATTCTTTGGTATCTGTTTCTTCTCATAACCCCATTTCCTAGCCAATTTGATAGCAGTTTCAACTCCTTCAGCTCCAGTATTCATTGGCAACATCATGTCATATCCAAACATGCTTGTCAGATATTCCGCAAAGATTGGGAACTTATCGTTGTAGAAAGCTCTAGAACTGAGCGTAAGCCTTTCTGCCTGTTCTATCAAAGCTCTCAGGACTTTTGAATGGCAATGACCCTGCACGGAATGGCAAACATTACACAGTTTGAGTACATAAAAAGAAGCATGACAAACAATGTAGTATCCCAACTTAACTTTTCTAACTTCCGGTCTGTTTTGACAACAAATAGTTTCCAGACACGATTTACTGCATAGATGAGGTTTAAACAAATAGTAGCCCCACGGAAAGAAGTCTACCTGATTGACTGCAGAATAAGCAGAGAGAAAATCGATGTATTTGTTGCCTTCAGGGTCCACTATGTGTGAACCTTCTCCTTTGGAAAACACCATGGGGATTGGATGGTAGCTGCAGGCATTGAAATGATGGTAGCTGCACTGCATTGAAATGTTAATTTAGAAGTTTAGGGAGCAACTTCCCATCAGTGCTGAAAATGAATCCCTTGAAAGCAGAAGAAAAATATTATTTGAGAAGTTTCAGAAAGATGGCCTGTACGAAACTTCTAAAACTTCCCATCAATCAATTTTCGGATCAAAATGCAACCTACTAAATTCTGTAGTTTCCAGTTGACGTTCTATTCCAATTTAAAAGAATATTGCCATTCATTAGTTTTTCAGAGACAGCACCCTAATTCAAAACAAGATGACAGCTAAGTTTACCGCGATCACTCCCCTTCAAAGTATGGTGCCAGTCAAACATTTTTTAAGTTTGAAATATTATAGAAAAGAGTACCAACATTGACGCCTGATAAAGTAGGGGTCGAACAGACAAATGAATCTATTTATGATTTTCAATGGCGTGCACGTAAAATCACCACAACAATAGAACGATCATCTGATAGCTTTTGCCATTTCATTAGATTTTTAGAGCAACGTATTGGAATCCAACACACATGGTCGTATTGGAACCACACATGGTCGTTGCTACATAAGGAGGAAGAGCAGAGGAAGAAGATCAAGGATGGTTGTAAGCTGTTGGAAATAGTCATCATTTTTGCAAGTTTTTGCTAAATTTGGATTGAGGTTTAGAATTGAAGCTTAGTTTCCTTTTTATTCGATGTTCTAGTATCAGTTGTGTTAGTTCTCTCATGTGGGAGGTGTGAGTCTAAGTACTCGTTTGGTTATAATGAATTGGTGTATACATCTTCTCGAAGATGTAGAGACGGGGACCTGTGTTCCATTATTAAAAAAAGAGACACCAAACAGAGAGCTAATGTTTCAGCACAAGAAAAATAAGAAAGAACCCAGGGCAGAGCAAGCGCTGAATTCTGTAGCGCTGTGCGATCCGAGCATGAACGCGTCAGGGGCGGAGGCCGGAGGCACAGAGGCGTTTCGACGAGCACGCGGCGGGCGCGCAAGGAGAGTAAAGGGAATGGGGACAAACAGAGAGAGTTGAGATAAGCGTGGAGATCGAACACGGACGTACTTGTGCGCGCTGCAGTCCCGTTCCATCCGCATGAGCTCCTCTGAGGACAGCGCCGCGCCGCGCCCTGCCGCCGGCGCCGACGCTGAGCTCGAGCACATCCCGCGCCACCGCGCCAGGGCCGCGGCGCCCCGCCGCGCCACCGCCATCGCCATGCCCGCTGCGCCCGCTCAGAGCTCAGTGCTTCAGTGGCTCGGTCGGCCGGTCCCCACGCGCGCGCAGATGGTGGTGGGTGCGGCCGCTGCAGCCTCCAGGTCCGGGCCGGGACCTAACTAAAAAGGCGTCGCGGTTGCTTGCTATACTTGGGACGCGAACGCCGAACGCAACCGATGCCGATTGCTTTCGGGGCGGGGCGGGGCGGCTCGGCCTCGTGCCGCTGTTGTGGCACGGCACGGAAGGCCGGCAGGGGGAAGGCGCAGGACAGCGCGGTGATCTTATCCGTCCACGTCCGCCTGCTGGGCGCGCCGGGACGATGGCGAGGGGGCAGCGAGCGGTAGTCCGACAGCTCGTCCTCCGCCTGCCGCTTGGCGCGCACGGGACGATGGCGAGGGGCACTGTCGAGCGGTAGAGCTCGCGTCCGGGACTCCTGTCGCTCGTCGGCGCCCGGCTAATAATTTTATATTTTCTCCTCGCGCGATTGGGTTCCGCTTGGCATTGACGTAGATGTGACGGTTTGCATCTGACACCAAATAAATCATCGGAAATGCTCGCGTCCGGCTCTGTTTTCTTCGTGTCGAACGTTTTTTTAATTAGGGCATAATCTATATAGCATGTTAACGGTCTAATAATTTTTATACTTTCTCTCTCGCGCCGTTGCTCGTCCCCTCACGGTTCTCGTCTCCCTGACAATAATTTTGGCGCCCCCACGCCCGTCGGGCGAAGCTCAGCCCGGATCTGGCCGCCATGGCCCAGATCCGCCCCCTCCCGGATGCTTTCCTCACTCATCGAACACACCACGCGAAGCCAGCTGCCCCACGCCGGGCCACTTTGTTCTTCCATCCTCGATCCGCTATACCGATCCGGCCTTCCTATCTTGCCTCCATGGTGGCAATATAGATCGAAATGGACACCCCCATGATGAGGTGTTTCTCATCTATAAAATCCTCCATGGTCGAGTGTCTCTCAATGACGAACTACACATGGGAGGTGTGGGCTCAGCAGCTATAGTTTGCGGTTAAGCTCCTCATGGTGGTGCCTCAGTGGTGGCCGGGCTCCTTCACGTCGTGCGGCCCGGTTGGCTATATACTTAAGCGCGATAATAACGCGGATCTACACTTCTCCCCGCAGTGGGTTATGTTGTAGTATGTGATATGTTGCAACAATCAATCTTGAATGTGTTACATGTTTTATGGCACTTAGCATAAAATTGGATTTTGCGGTATTGCAACAATCGATTTGAGATATTGCAACAATCGATTTGAGATGTTGCAACGGATCTACACCCTTGCGGTGGGATTTGTAGGTGATATGTTGCAATCTTGAATGTGTTTTTTTATGGCACTTAGCATAAAATTAGATTTTCAATTTAAGATTTGAGAATTGCAACATGATTTTTTTGATGTTGCAACATGTTTTTTATGTTGCAATAGTCAATTTTAGATGTTACAATGTTTTTTTTTGATGTTACATGATGTTACAACATGTTTTTTTGATGTTACATGAGGTTTCAGTATATTGCAAACCTTTGTTCTTGAATGTTGCAAGTAATGATTAACATCTGATCCATTTGTCTCTCTTTCCATCTCTCCCTCACATACGGCAAGGTGCGGTGTCTGCAAGCGCTATAGGAAGCGCAACCACCATTACCGTGGTTTACTATTGCATCACAGGAGAAAGGAGGGAGCCGGAAGGAGATGAGAGCTGGGGATGGACGGGCAGAGGGAAAGCCTTTGGATGCGAAAGAGAATGAGCGCAACGGATACCTCTAGATCCGAAAGGGAAGGAGCGTCAGGGTGAAACGGATAGAGCGGAAGTGTCCGGATCAATTTTATATCCGGCCGGCCAGCCGGCCTAGTATTTCCTATAAATCATAGATTATTTTATACATCGATCTACTTGAAAATCAAAAAATAGAAATTACAACTACAAATGTTTGCCAAACCATATTTTATAGTATCACATCAATCTCTCGAAAAAAAAGGGAAATTACAACTGCAAATGTTTACCAAACATGGCCTCCAAAGAAGGCTGGGTCAAGTGGCCCTTTTTTTAAAAAAAAAAAGATTACCAAACCGTCGCAGAAGAAAAAAATGGAAACAGAAAAATCTAAAAACACGAGTACGCACAAACGACGTGCGTAACAATAGCCAAGCAATGACAAGCTCTGGGACGACGACATGATGCATGGAATCATGGATCACGCATACGTCAACGTGCGTGTGCACGATGGTGCACAAAATCGCGCGGGGCCCCCGCGCGTGCAAACCAAGGCCAGCTCCCACGCGCATACGTGCCGGCCGGCCCGGCCGGCCGCCTAGTCGAGGCCGAACGCCTTCCTCATGCCGCACACGAACTGGAACACGTGCTCGGCCTCCGGCAGCGACTCGGCCACGCACGCGTTCTCCCGGGCGCAGCGCTCCGCCCACGCCGCCAGGGCCGGGCACTCGGCGGCGACGGTGAACCCGCCGAACCGCTCGTAGGTCAGGAACCACGGCGCGAAGGGCACCAGCGCGACGTCCACGTAGCCGAGCGCGTCCCCGCCGAAGTAGGGCTTCCCGCCCAGCTCGGCCTCCAGCGTCTTCAGCGCGGCCACCGTGTCCTTCCTCGCCGCCTCCACCGCTGCCGTCGCGCCCTTGGGCGACCGCCACACGCGCACCCCGGCCTCATTCAGCTGCATGCACGGATCGTATTAGAAGCCTAGCTAGCTAGTGATCTCGATGATAGATCATTCGCGACGACCTTGGTGTCGACGTAAGAGGCCCAGAAACGGGCGTGGGCGCGTGAGTAGGGGTCGGCGGGGAGGAGCGGCTTGCCGGCGGCGGAGAAGGCGTCGTCGATGAACTCGAGGATGACGAGGGACTCGCACACGGGCTTGCCGTCCACGATGAGGACGGGGACCTTGCCGTGGACGGGGTTGGAGGACAGCAGCAGCGGGCTCTTGGCCGCCAGGTTCTCGGCCTTCTCCTCGTACGCCACGCCCTTGAGCTTCAGCGCGATGCGCACGCGGTTGCCGAAGGGGCTCACGAAGCAGTTGAGCAGCACCACAACTCCCTCCATTGCCTCCGATCCGATCCCTTGGAAGCTTGCAACCTTTATCAGCAGACGATGTGCCGGCCGGCAACGCTCGATCGCTGGCTGATGACTGGAGCTTGCATTTTGCCAATGGCTTCGTCGATTCCATGTCTATATATAGCGGATGATGACTTTGGTAGATGTCGCTAGCTACGAGGCGTTTCTTTGGACGCGCCGGGGGTGCTGCCAATTTTCTTGGGGATGGAAATCAACGGCATATGCCGATATGTCATCGACCGCACCAATGATAATGCATCGATCGATGCATGTCTTCGATTATTTCGTTGCTGATAATTTGTTCGTTTCTGCTTCTGAAACCGCCGGTGCTTCGTCCTGTCTGCTGTTTTACTCGATATGCGCGCATGCATGTCCAGCTCGTTATTTGCTTCGGGTTTTTTTTTTTGACTTTTGCTGTTTATCTATTGATAGGTTTTTTTACTAAATCTGTTGTATTTCTATACGTCTGATTGTGCTTTAGGATTTGTGCTACAACTATCTATTAAATCGTATTTATAAAAAATCTGACAGATTTTTTTTTTTTTATGAAGTTAGTTGCTTGTTTGCATGCCGGTAAAAAAAATGTCACGCAATGCAGCTTCTCATGCGGCTTCCCGGGCACCCGGCAGCGGCGCTGCGATTAGAGTTCCAGACTTCGTTGCCTTCCGTCCATGCATCTTCGTTGTGGACGTACGCCGGAGGCCGGATGTTCCAAGGCCCGCCGGGTGTCAGTTTGATGGAGAGGTAAATAAAGCACTAAAGCTTAGTATATAATCAAATTAAAATAGAAAGCCCGCAAAGCTGGGATATTCTTGCTATGACGATTCTTCTCAATGTCATGTAATATTATATCGTGTTGTGAATTCCAAGGTTAATTGGATATAGTAATTTGATTACCTCATCGATGAGGTCTAGCACCGGCGGTTTTTTATTCAGAAGCAGAAACGAACAATTTGATTACCTCGTTGATGAGGTCACTACTTTTGAAATACATAGGAGTAGTTTTCTCCGTCGTCATGTACATTCCGAGTAAAGTAGTGATTGCAAAAAAAAAACTGAATATTCAGTTAGTACACTCACTTTTGAAGTTTAAACGCTGGGGCGGAATTCTCGGATGAAAGGCTGGGTCTTTTTAAGAAGTTTCGGTTGTTGGGAGCATCTGACCAAGTGGACTTTTAAGGTATATCGACAATCTCGCGAATATGGGCCGAATGGCCCAACAGCCGGGAAGCCTGCTAATGTGAATCGAACCGGATGTAGGAGTACGTGGCAGGTCTGATCCTCTCGTAGAGGCGTAGAGCTATGACTATATTAAGCTAAAGTTTTAAATAAACATATATTAAGGACACAAGCATGTGCGATAAAAGTTAGTGAAACTATCAATACATACAGATAAAAAAATACATAGAGTAATTGGTAAATCTATTATAACCAGATAGATATCACAGAGTATCTATATAAGTAGTATTTGTTAGCAAATAAATAGAGAGAGAGAGAGCATGCAAGGATAAACAATTTGGTTTAGTTGTTTATACTAAATTAATCATGAAATTCTAATACTTATACCTTATAAGGTTATACACGATGTATAGGAGTAAGGGTTAATGGACTAGTTATTACTCTTCTAATTAGTAAGGAAAAACTAGATCATAAGTAGTAACACTAGAAATTGAACTCCACTGCAGTAGAGGATTCACTAGTGGGTCTTCGCTATGGTGGTTTGCTTAACATGGTTTGGGTGGTGGTTGATGTTGTTGTTTTTTTGTTAGAAAAAGTCTACTTAATCCCTTTAACTACTGGTGGTTGTCTACTTTACCCTTCAACTATAAAACAAACATTCAGCCTCTTAAAGTATTTAAAACCGTCTAAATAACTCCTTAGACGGTTTTGAAGGTAGATTTGCTAACGTGGCATATTACGTGGATCCTGACATGATGATGAGTCAACAAATAATAGAAAAAATATATATAACCCCCTGACATAATCAAGGTTGACTACAACCTCTCAACTATAAAATCCGATATTATAGCCCTTGAAATGTTCAATAATGATAAAATGGCTCTTGGATGGTTTTGTAGCGCCGCTTTGACACAGTGTTACGTCACATTGGCATGAGTACTCATGCTTATTACACGTGGATCATCCATCTATTGGTTCCATATCTCTACTCTTTCTAGGTTGCCCCACCATCCGACGAGCAACAAATGACCTTCTATCTCCCGCAGTCCTGCCTGCTGCACCTCCGGGACTTCTTGACGTCATTAACCTCACGCACCGTGTCTGTATTGGCCATCCTCATTCCTCTCGTGTCCTCCTCGTATGGCTACCTCAAAAAATAAAGGGAATTCCTGCAGCAGCTGGCCCAGTGTCTCCATCTCAGTGACTAACTTTACGGCGTATGTGTGTGTGTGTGTGTACATGAATAATAACCATGCAAGATGTGTATATGTGTGTGTGTACATGATATAACTCCAACTGTAACAAAGCCTACGCACTCTAGATTTTGTATATAGACTACAGGGTAACTAACTGTCTAAATCCTACAGGTAGGAAGGCACAGTACATAATATAGCTAGAACCGATGATCACACATCAGCCTCCTGCTCGATCTGTAGCCTCATCTGCCTGTTGAACCGCGCGATGAAATCCTCCACCCTCCTGTTCAGCTCCTCGTCGCTCAGTTGCCAGTACTCGCTCTCCTCTGCCGCCGACTTGCTCCCATCCGTCGCCGACCGCCGGAGTCTCCCGCCCTTGCCGTGTGCCAGCACGTCCGGTGGACGAGAATAGAGTGCTACTGGCCACTCCTCGTCAGCTGCTTCCTCCTCCTCCTGCACCTCCTGATCAGGGAGGCTCTTGCTTGTCACAAGCTTTGGCACCCATGGTTCTGGCTCTGGCTCTGCCTCTTGCGGCTCAGCCAATGCTCTGTCGGAAGCCGGGGTGGGGCTAGCTATTTCTCCATCTTCGTCTCCTTGGCCTCTCATCACCATCGTCACGGCGGTGCTGTCCTTGTCGTCGGTGCCCGGCTCCATCGGCGCCTCGTGTTGCTCACCTCGCTGCAGGAGTACCGAAACATGCATGTGGTTCGGCTGCAGGCCCGTGCCAGCCCTGTTCGCTGCATCTCCACTTTCAGCTTGGGTCAGAAAAGGCGACGCAGCAAGGTCCACGGGGTTGCTGCCGGCCACCTCTTCTTGGACGCCTCCGCCTCTCATAGTCACGACAGCCGGGTCGTCAACCGCCGCCAAAGGAACCACCGCGTCACCGTTACAAGGATCGTCGTCGTTGGAGGAGGAGCCGAAGAAGAGCGTTCCGGCGTCGTCGGCGGTGGCGACGATGGCAGCGATGACGCAGTTGGACATGAGGAACCAGAAGGCAGTGTCCCCCGCCAGGGCGGCCGGCGGCGGCCGCAGCAGCGACACGTAGAGCAGTGGCAGCGAGGCCACCAGCGCCGAGACGGCGACCCTGGCGATGGCCTGCCGGTGCCGCCGCGGCAGCGTGCGCGTGCCCACCACACCAAGCATCGCTAGGACTAGGAAGCTCTCGCTCCCTGATTAATAGTATACTTCTACACTTGTACTGCTGCCACGACCACCAGACAACCAGTGTGGAAATGGCTCGCAATCGCGACCTGGGTGGTGTTTGGGCCTCCTCTGACTCCTGTGGCCGAGTGGCTCGAGAGTGTGGTGTGCCGTGTGCATCTGGTAGCATGTACCTGCCCCTTTATAGGGGTTTGGAGTAGGAGCGGCACGCTGCCATGTCGTAGGAGTAGCTCGCTAGCTAGCTAGCGTCCGTGATGTGATGTGGTTTGGTTTTGCTTGAGATGGTGGCTTGGTGGCTTTGTCCTCGTCTTGTCTTGGGGTTTAATGATGATGGCGAATAATAGCACCGGCGCGTGTGTGTTGTGTCTGGACCCTGGAGCCGGCATGAGCCGTGTGCCATGGAGCAGAAGGCAGGGTGGGCGCGCGTGCGACCGACGGAGGAGGGCACCCGACCGGCGCGTGTTTAAGTGAAAAGAGGGTAGGGCAGCGGCGCTCGGCAACCGGCAAGCAAGCCACCGTACCATGCGCATGCGCCCGCGGCGGGGCCTGCCACAAATGCTGCTGGATCTAAGGTGCTGGTCCCATGGTCGCCGCGCAAACAGGTGACATGTGCGTGCATGACAAATCGGCAAGTTACTAGTAGGATATTTGGAGTTGAACTACTGACAGTTTTGACACTAGGATGTGTTTGTGGTGGCTGCGTGTGCGTTGCGCTTGCATTACACTCTCAAACTTGGATGCGGAGTCATCTTGCGGCAGTGCTTGCTGCACATCACGTCAGAAAGCATTTTCACAATAATATATGTACAAGACCGAGAAACATATTTTCCAACTAACGGCTGCATTAAAAAAAATAGAGGGGGCCAGGGGGAAGGAAGAAACACTAGTCGCAAAAGTCAAGTGACTGAAACTTATTTTCAGTTTTCACTCGGCTCATGTTGTAGCTGTTGGTTTAATTTAGGGGCTGCAAGACAAGAAATTTTAAGTGTTTTTAGCTTTGTCACGCACCACGTTGACTTTGAATGAACTGAACAATGCAAAGCTACTCACACTGATTGCATGCTAGTATTGATTGAGTCCATCATACAGGAACCCTGCTACAAACCAAACACCTCAGCACATCTGGCCCTCAGCTGTAATTGAACATTAAAGCCTTGTTCGGAACAGTTGCGAGTCCTTAACAGACAATCAGAGCCTTGTACGGTGCAATCAATCGGCCACACTGATGGTGCTCAGGTGCACCACTTGGCACGCAGCAGAGAAACATTCTGTGTTCCTCCGTCTGAATCATGCATGCTATGAGGGTGACTGAAATGAAAACACCGGGCTTTACTCTCCAGCGAAGCTCGAGGAAATGATTACTGTCAAGATGATTGCTAGACAGCTAAGGGCATGACTCATCAGTCATGTAAATTACTAAATTTATGAAGGGGACGTAGTTCAGCTGATTAGGCTTTTTACCGTGGAACCAGCTGTCCACCGGCCGGGTGTTGGGTTCGAGTTTCAAATTTGGAGTGGGCACTCAAATTCAATTGGCTTTGTTTTGGAAAGAATAGAACATACGGGCAGGGTGAAGATAGGTCAAAAGAAGACCTTGGTGCAGGACTTCATCACGGTGGAGTATATAGAAGCTATACAGTTTTCAAACCATTTCCAATAAACAGTGATCTATTGTCTCCGTTTCATAAATAAGTACACTTCTCGTATTTTGATAGGGAAATGCTACATTTAAGGCGTTCGACGCCCTAGCCAGAATTGATGGCTCCATACAAATAAAAAAACAAAAATGCTTACACCTAGCCCGACGGTATAACATCATATTCTCTTATCCAGTCGTTCTCTCTAGAAGCCTCTCGTCCACTCGTCCTCTCCAGAAGGAGCGCTCCGCCACGCTACCTCGGCGTTCTTCACACCGTCCGTGCGCCGGTTGTCGGGCGGCATCACCACCGCACCCCAGCGTGGCTACCTGTCTTTCTCCCTCTCCATGGCGCCTCCAGCCCACCGTGGCCGCCCACCGCGGCCCGTCTTCTCCAAAGTGGTGAGCTCGGCGCCACCTATGAGCTCTACACCGGTGAACTCCACACACCGACGAGCTTCCATTCCCAAGCAAAAAAAGAGACCTCCATTGATGGGAACGGGGGATCCCGATCTTCCATCAGGTGATGATAACTATCATTTTGTTGGAGCACGATATACCGATCCGGCTTTAGATCCAAAGACCCGAACACTGCAATCTTAGCACCACAACTCCTCTGGTTATCAACCGTGTCACCAATCCGGTTGACCTCGCCAAGAAGGCTAATCTCTACCTATGAAACGAAGAACACAAGCAAGAACTCGAAGGTACGCAGCTCAAAAATATAGGACAAACTGCAGATAAATGATTACACACACGAGTTGGGGTTCCACAAACCGATAGACGGCGACTGTCAATGACAGAATGATCTAAGCAAAACCCCTAAAACCTAACGATGGCGGCGACTACTGATTATAAAGGTCTAAGGGTCGTCGCTAGCCCTGGACGCGCCTCCCTAATGGGCTCAAAGACGATACACGGCCCAACGGACCAAAAGCGGTGGCGCAACACCTGATAGATTCTGGACGCTGACTTGTTTCGATGATTCCCATTGACTCGGTGGAATTTGAACCTCAAACCAAAACCATTTGTTACCTTATGAAATTATCTTTCCATCCATATGTGGATCGTCGAAAACGGAGTCCGGATGTTGCAAGCGTTTCGTTTTGGTATTGCAAAAGTAGATCGAGATGTTGCACATGTTGCAATGGCTATACACATATGTTTCAAGTGTATGTTTAAAATGTTTCATCTATATCAGATGTATGTTGCAAATATTTTTATCGCATGTTGTAAAAGTAGATCTAGATGTTGCATGTGCATGCATGTTGCAAGCGTATTTTCAAGTGGTTTCAGGTGTTTTGCAAGTGTTTCATCTGGATGTTGCATATGTTTGTAATGTTTTCATGTATTTTTGCAAGTGTTTCAGACGCATATTTAAGTGTTTCATCTGTCTTCTTTGTATGTTACAGTTGTTCCATCTGGATGTTTCAAAAGTTGATTGGGGTTGCACATGAGATGCGCGTGGGAAGTGGCTGGTGGCGAGGGCGACGTCCGAGGCAACGCGGGCATCGTTCGAGGTGGCGCCGACGACGTCTGGGGCGGTGTGGGCTCGCTGCTGGGGTGCTCGCCCGCAAGCCCGATGCGCTAGGGTGCTCAATCGCTCATTGAGCAGGTACCGTCCAACGCTAGCGCCCCGGATCGAACGTCCGGGCGCTAGCAAGTCCCTGAGCCAACTAATTTCGAGTTTGACTAGATTTATAAAAAAAATCAATAGTTTGACTCAAATAAGGAACGATTAATCTAATAATGTTTATTTGGCATCTATGAAAATATACTAACACACATATTACTATGTTTGTCCTAGACCTTTATTGTCATATAAATCACCAAACTAAACATAATCAGGCATATAATCCTTAAAGACGGTTTGCCACAGTTTTTATTAAGAGAAAAAATAAAACAAGTGTTGGCTTAGTTTTTTTTTAATGGAAACTAAGCTAAACAAACCACACAATTGCATGTTTTCCAATTTGATGGGAATATACATCACATCATCATCATGTACTCGTACTACCATCAATGACCAGGAAATATTTGTTAATATAGTGTGTGAAACATGGGCTGAAGAACAGTTTTGCTTCAGGTCACTGTTAATTGTATCCTGGTGGAGACTTTTGTGCGCATCTAAGTTATGATAGCTTCAGATACAGCATCATATTTCTTTGTCCTTTCTTGTGAGATGGAATCATTGAGTCATCCTTCAATCAGGAAGAACAATGAACAGTACAATATGTCCTTTACTTCACTATGATACTCGATTCATCATTAAACAATAGTCGTCCTTAAGAGCATAACTCTACAAAAGATGAGATGAAACGACAACTTCTTGTCCATTTAACCCACATGTAACGGCCCATATTCGTTGATTGAGATTGAGCCATGTCATTATTTTCCGAGTAAAGTGCACTTTTCAAACTTCAACTTGCACGGAAGTTCAATTTTCAACCCTAAACTATGAAACCAGGTAATTGGCATCCTCCAACTGTCAAAGCCGGAAAAAATTTAGTTATTTAATTGGTTTAAAAGTTTGTCTTTTCTATTTTCTAAAATAATAAAAATCTATTTCAATACCTTAAAATTCAGACCTTATTTATTTTAAATCAGAAAAATGTGAAACTAATATCATTATTTCCTAAAAAAAATATTTATTTGTTGGTACTCTATTTGATTTATTTCAGTCTTATTTATTCATGTTTCTAATAAACAAGATCACAAGAAATAAAACAATATAGGAGCAGAAATAAATAAGTTCCATGTAACTGTAAATAAAACACTAACAATTACATAGCATTTTTCTAGAAAAAGATGGCACTAGTTTCATATTTTTCTAATTTCAAATAGGTTAGTTATAAATTTTTAGAGGTTAAATAAGATTTTTATTATTTTTATAAAACAAAATACCAGCTAAGTAACCAAATTTGTCATGTTTTGATAGTTTATCCCTTTTCGTAGTTTAAGGTTGAAAATTAAACTCATCTGCAAGCTGAGGGTTGAAAATGCACTTTACCCTTATTTCCCCATGGGAAAACCCGTACTCCACACGTCCACACACTCTCCTAGTGCAGTTTTCACGAGACAATAACTACTGCACCCATTTTAAAATATAAGTCCTTTTATTTATTTTTTCTGTTTTAATTCAGATATTTTTTAACTTTTCAGCAATTTTCTAAAAAACTTTATGGTTTTATACATCCTATAGAAATAGGAAGGCATTTCATCATAGAGGCTAATTGCTAATGGACGAATCAAATTCGAAGACAACAGACTGACGCTGTAGTATAAGCATCAGGGCTTAAACGAAAGCAAAACCCTGTGTTAATCCTTCCGTTCTTCTAGAAACAACAGTGTGTTGTGTCCGCAAAATATAGACGAAACTGTCAGCATCTCTTACTGCAGTGTCCATTTGCCCAGCAGTGCTGGAGGATAATTCAAATTGATGTCCCTCTGAATGATGAAGATTTTCCTGAAATCACTGAATTTCTCAAGGACAGACTTCAGTCTCAGTTCTGTCATCCTTATTTGTTGGGCTATTTGGTCAGCAAGAAATGCAAGACGTCTCTTCCAGAAAGAATTACTCTTGCTTGTGCATAGAGTAAAGCCAAACCTAAATTTGCAGTTTGAACAATGGATTCAAAATTTCTTGTAATTCTTAGAGTTAGATTTCTGTTCTTTGTTTCTTTCCTTGTTACTTAATTTTCGTTGTAAACCTTGCACTTTTTTTGTTTCTAGTATAAAAATTTTCCTGTAGGGGCCTCGGCCCCTCCAGTTTCAAAAAAAAAAAAAAGAAACAACAGAGAGAGATGGACGGCCAGTCGTGCGACAAAGCTAACTCCCACTATCAGATACGGAGTCCATTTTTTTTTCTTCACGAAAGGCTGTTTCTGGTCTCAAAGTTGCGATTTGTCCCGTCCTCGTGGATGCCATCTATCTATCCCTTTCTTGTCTTGCAGGCACCAGGCATGGCGCCGTCGTTTGTATCACCGCGTGGACAGTGGACCCTATTGTAAAAACAAAAATGCTATACAACATACATGTATTTTAAGGAAAAAAACACATGGATTTTTCCTTTCTCTCTTCTTCCACCGGTGCTCCCAGTGCTCGGCGACCGGCGTCGGGCCCACCCGCACTCGGATCGCACCTGGTGGGCCTCCTCCGCGGCGTCGTTCGCCTTCGCCGTTCCCAGCACGGTCACGCATGCACCCAGGCCAGGGCAGTCCAGAGACCGCAGAGGAGCAGCATCGGGCTTGCCACCAAACTCCAAAGGCCATCAATGGCTGGAACGCATGCATGTCGTCCTGCACTGCATGGTCATGGTGGTGCGGTCCAGAGGTCAGATGTCTTGGTTGGCCACCCAGGGATCCGGCTCCAGGTACCTCCTCCTCCTCTGCGATTTGTTGTCCTTCCATAGAAAAAAAAAATAGTTTCTTGTATCTATGGATCTATGATCTTGTGATTGTCTGGAGGTAGAAGAATATTGAAGGTAGAAGGAGGATAGAGGTTGTTGGATTTTAATTTTATGGTGTAAAAAAATTCATGTGTTGTAACTGTATAAAACACATAGTTGTTGGATAGACAAACTGTTACCGAAATGGAAATGACGATCCACGAACTGGCAGTAGTAGATGCGGGCGGAGGACTTGTGGATACCAAGCGGTGGCGTTTATGTGAAGCCGGTCTCTTGGTGGCTGCCACCTGGATTTGATTAGCATGTGTTGGAATGGGAATATGGGATGGCTACATCACTACATGTAGTAGGCTACTTACATGACTAGTATAGTGCCCGTGCTAATATTATAGTAGCATTTCAGAGACATACATTAAAATAACAAAACAACGATGTTTCTTAAAACAAACTGTATCAGTTAACAAGGAGAACTACACAATAAGTAACATATACTTTGCCATTCTTAAAACCGCCGCTGCTTTCTTCTTGACAAGCTTCCATTTTGATTCAGGTTTAGCTTGAGACCGGCACCACCTTGACTTAGATGTCTTCAAACAGTCACCACTCTTCATAAACCAACAAGTAACAAAAGTCATCACAATATAGTATTTTATAAAGTAGAAATTAATTTAAATGACAAAGAGCGCTCATAAAATTTCCACCAGCTATAAATCTATTTGCTAGCAGTTTATATTTCTGAAGCATACCTTAATGTTAAACCCAGCTTTAGCACTGGTTTCAATAAACATGACGCCAGGGTCATTCGCCTTGCCTTCCCCTTCCTCTTTCGAGACTTGCTGTTCCATGAGATGCAACAGAATTCAGCAAGAATATAAGAGTGACACATTGAGATTCTAGTTCTAGTGACAAAAACAAGCAACAAAAAAAAGAACACGCACATACAAATTGAGTAAACATATATAGCAAATGCTAAGTTAATCTAGGATTAAAGAAAGCAAAGCTTCGAGCTTTTTGCTAAATGCCAACCCAAGATATGTGTTTCAGAAGAACGCTCTAAATGCCTCACTGAGATTGAGCCATGGACCCAGGTCCCACTTGATATACTCAGCAACCAGCACATGGGATTGTTCTGAATCGCAAAGGGTGATATCCACCTGAAAATTCCTAGGAAATGCAATCCAAATATTTGAATTGAAATCCAATCGAATTGAAAAAATGTGTTAGTGATGTTCTTCAAATAGAAAAGCGGAGAACTGAAACAAACACAACATAAATCGAAGTACCTGATATTTTGATTTTCTAAATTTCTTAAGACAAACCAAATTCCATGAGATGTCAGATGGGAATAACCTGTTAAGCCCTTTCTTACAGCTGCAACATGATGTACCATCCACAAATTAGCCAAAGAAACTATAAATTTGAGCCATACAGTGCAAATATGATAGATTAAAAAAAGAAAAGAAAAAGAAAGGCGAGTTCCTCTGCAGCTAGCTAGTGCAACATCAACTTATGCTAGTGCGTTAATGGTTCCAAACAATTTCTAAATCCCTGCACTCATGAACCCAGAGTAACAATACGGAAGTCAGAGGATCTTCCCTTCGCGTTATGTTTGTAGCATGATACATTAATTTTTCTCATTCCAAATTAAGAATATAATTTCCACTTCACTTTCAAAAAACAAAAGATCAGTTCCAATTCAGTGGTTCAGCTAGTACAACACATACATGCATCCATGATCTCTGTTTGGAGTCAAACAAAAAATAGCCTGCAGAAATATATTTATGTAGCCGTATGGCAAACAGTGGGCAACAATCACCAAAAGGATAATACATCAAGCAATTGTCAGTAATTCATCAAGAAACCTATAGTCTGCCTTTGCATTATCCAGTACCCACAAATTCACAAAAGAAACCTGAAACTACAAATGATGAAGATTTAATACAAAGAAAAAATAACTTACTGATGAAAGGATCATCATAATACTTCCCAGGGCCTCGTCTAGCCCACATAAAATTGATTCAGATTGACCACCTAAAATCAGAACCATTTATCTAATTAAGTAATTAAAATAATTACAAGTTACATATAAAAAAAGCACTAAAAAGATCACTTATTCCTTCTAAATCCACTGAACAAACACTTCCAAAATCTGAAGTCCACTTAAAAATTAACTCAGCCAAGTATTAACACCTAAGTCCAAAACAATTATCAAACAGTTAGTAGTAACCAGATTTTTTTGTGTTGAGATCATGGATTCAATGAATAAGTCAGTGCATGAGTAATCCCTATCTGATCATGTGGTTCATATGTGTCTACTTCTCAACAAGCTTGTCTGCTACGCCAAATATTTGAATCAAGCATGGGTGATAATGGGACTTGGAACTGGTGTCAGTTTAGGCAGAGAAATACTTACAATGCCACTGAAACTGCTAGCAATAGAAGTTTGATTCTCCTAAAAAAATCAAGGCATCGGCCTGTACCTGTTGATGCGTGCCTGATCATGGTATTTTCAAGTGCGAAATAGCAAAATTGTAATAGACTATTGCAGCAAAATTGTAGAGTGAAATAGCAAAGTACCATGTGCCATGCCACGCCTACAGCGCCCTGCAGAGCGGTCTGATGTCCACCGGCCTGACGCCGCCTGATGACGAACCATGGCGCCCTGCAGAGCGCAATCGTGGACCAAAATGATCTAGAGAGCACCAAACTGAAAACCACTTCTGCAGCATCATCAACGCCTCACCTGCATTTCCCTCTTCAAAAGCACCTTGCCGGTAGGTCACAAGCTTCTGGCGCGGAGGTTCGCGCCGGCAATGAATCATCCCATGTGCCCTGCAAAAGAATCAAAAGTTTATGAATTTGGGGGGCAGAGAAATCAGTAGGAGTTGGCCCTGGCGGCGTGGAGTCAAGGTAGAGATGTACCGCGAGGAGGAGAGGAGGGTAAGCGCACGGGACCTCAGGCACAGCTCCGTCCCCGGCAGGAGATGGAGGAGGCGGAGGTTCGCCGCCATGGCCGTCATCCCTAGGCAGCAGGATCTAGCTTCTCGATCCTTGCGCATTCCACAGCAGTGCAGGCGGCCTCGTCATCCACGCAGATCGCCGCCGCCGCCATCCCTAGGCAGCGGGATCCAGACGCGCAAGGTGGAGCCGGCGGCATCGACGGAGGCAGCCCGAGTGCCCGGCGTTTCTTTTTTTCGGAAGAGAAGAAAATTGGACGTGAGGATTGAAATCGAACCCTGGCCGCTCAAGCGTCGCGCAGTGCGGGTGCGGGTGCGTGAGAAGCTTGGCATCACAAGTCGAACCCCGATGGAGTGCAGACACACTAAACATGAGTCGTCGGATTTGGATAAGTAACAAGAGAGAATGGCTAAGAGATAATCTGGTATATCTGTTTTAATGGTGTTATATTTTCTGGGTGCATTTATGGATGTGGATATAGCATAGGTCATGACTGTGGAGTAGACATTTATTGTGTGGCTGTAGATTTATTCTAACTGGTGTATTATAGGGTGGGGTAGATTGACACGTGTTTTTACTTTAGTATAAGTCGGACCATCTTAATTTTTACTGTGTTTATTCAAAAATATTCTAATATTTATGATACTATATAAACTTCATTAGTTCATCGTTGAACATATTTTTAATAGACCTATTAGATGTCATATATTTTGATAATTTTATCTACAAAATTTTATCAAACCCAAATTGGCTTGATTTAAATTTAACGTACAATAACACTCCTCTGACATGTGGAATACAACATTTTAGTTGCACGTATGTAGTACTTCCTTCGTTTCAAACTATAAAATATTATGGCTTTTCAAAATATATAGATTTTTTTATGCACTTAAATATACATTATGTTTAGATATTTAGTAAAAATTAAAGTACGTTCGTAGAAAAAGTTCGTAGAAAAAGTCAGAACGTCTTACGATCTGAAACAAATGGAGTAGTAACGTATATCAGATGCCGTTGACATGTGTGATCTTGGCATGACCATGACCCGTTAATTGATACTCCCTCCGTCCTAAATTATAAGTCATTTTAACTTTCTTAAATAGTCAAAATATTTTAAGTTTGACCAAGTTTATATAACAAAATAATAACATTTATGATATCAAATAAGCGTCATTAGATTCTTCATAAATTATATTTTCATAATATACCTATTCGAGGTCATAAATATTTTTAATTCTCTCTATAATTTTGGTCAAACTTGAGATGCTTTAACTCTCAAGAAAGTTGAAATGATTTATAGACTGTGATGGAGGGAGTATATTTTTGTTCCGTTGTGCTACTGTGCTAACCTATGTTTATTTATCCAGCAAAGTACTGGCATCTATTAATATGTTAGAGGAGTTCGTTGGGGGAATTTTTGGGTGTATAAATTTTGAGATTTGTTGTTCAAACTGAGAGTTGCCTTGGGCGATGCAATTTGGCTTTGCTCGTGCTCGTAAAAAACAGAGGCCCCGAGGGCAGCCAGTGGCGGACCTAGAATTTTAACAAAGGACATGCCGCACATTATTTTAAACAATTCGGTAAAAACCATATTTTAATTCGATAAAACTGCTTGCATTAAATAACATGATGAGCCTTAATTTCAAAGGTTAGCTAAAAACTATGACAAATTACGATATAAAGAGTTCAAAAGAAATACAAATAATTCAAAATATAGCCATAAAAGATACTTACAACGAGATGGGATGAAAAAATTGCAAAATAAAGGATGAAATATGTTATTTATAGTTATAATATCTAGAGGGGATAAAAAGTTGAAAAAAATAAAAATAAAGACACATGAGGTCTCATGGGATACAACAAGAGGGGATAAAAAAATAGAAAACTAAAGGATGAAGTATATTATATATACTTAATTTTAAAGGGGATAAAAGAAAATGGAAATTTAAATTGGCGTTGTACATAGCTATTGATAAGTGATAATGAAATGATGCCGAAGTTATATCACTTTTATTTGCAACTCCATTTCATGACGTGTCTCACGAGCATAACAACACGAGATAAAAAAACTAGAAAAAAACGACGAAATATATCATATATAGTTATTAATATTGAGAGAGGATAAAAGAGTAGAAATTAAAAAAAAAACTAATCACAATTGAGGTTTTACAGGACATATCAAGATGAGATAAAAATATGAAAACTAAAGGAAGACTAGAAATTATAACTGATTTTTGAATTTTTGGGGGTGCATGTGCACCCCTGTTCACTGTGTTGGCAGCGGTGGTGGTATAACTGATTTTTGAAATTTTGGGGTGCATGTGCACCCCTGTTCACAGATGTGGCGGTGGCGGTGTGGTGCCCCCCGAACCTATACACGCTGAGAGCGACCAGCTGACGCCAGCTGAGGGCACTGAGAGAGGTGCAACTCTCACTCCGTCTAGAGACCCGCAACGACAACGCACACTCTGTGGCGACCTTTTCACGCCTCGAAGTGCCGCCTTGCGTTCGTTAGCGAAACGCTCGCGGTGCTCCGCGCTGACCCGTTCCACATGCCTGCCAGGGGCTCCCTGCCGCTAGCGTTCGTGGCGAGCGCGCAGGACGCCTAGCTGGGCCGGATTTGGTCATTATAACTAATTTTTGAAATTTTGGGGTGCATGTGCACCCCTGGTCATACTACAGCTTCGCCCCCGCCAGGAAGGGAAGCGAAGGAGGGCAGCCATGGTTGTGGCTGTCAGTGAGGTCAGTGGTGTATCTAGGATTTTAATAGAGAGGGTATGCCACAACAAAAGTTTCATATGTGTTTCGGAAAAATTCATTTCCCAACCCTTAAATAATTGAAAATTTCGCATTACAATTAGGTATATGAGCAGAATAACATGAGTCTTCAATTCAACGATTAAATTGTAAAGTTGCATAAATAAACCAATATAAATAGTCCAAATATCATACTAACAATTCCAAATATGCAAAAAAAAAGCTTGCAATACTAATGATTCAAAATATGCATAAAATACATAAATCACACTCACACGAGCCATTGAGACGTGAGATAAGAGTTGAGAAGTGTTTTAGAGAATGCAAAACCTGTTGCTACAGTCTCGCCCAATTTGGAGGCCGGAGAGTAACTACGAGAGATTAGGTTCGGATATTGCAGAAGAAACAAAACGACAAAAGAATTGATAAGTAGAGGAGGAAAATTGCATATTTGCATCTGAAGATGTTACCTACTCGGGTCCTACTCCTGCCTCTGCCTCTTCCGCTCGGAGATAGGACGTTACTGGCCAGTGGCCACCAGGCGCTCGGCCTCACGGCGACAGGGCATCAGCCATCGGGTCGTCGTCGGTTTTCATAGCATGGCCCGTCGGCGACTCGACTCGTTGGTGCATGCGCACCGGTGCGGCTGCATGTGCGGGCGCCTGGTGACGTCGTCGCGCCGGGTCGATCCAGCAGCTGTTCGATCGGCATTCCGCTGTTCGCATCGATCGAGCATCGAGGCGTCGCCCTGTGGCCCTGTGGGCTGTGGCTGTGGGCCGTAAGGATGTGATCGAGGCGGCCCTTCGCGTGTAACTGTGCCTGCGTGAGGGAGTCCAAACGCCTGGACGGCGGCCGCTATCGACTGTCTAGGTGATTTTTTTACGCGTGCATATGATGATGTGAAAAGCTCGGCTAGCCCGCAGGGTATGCCAGTGCATAGCAGGTATATCTGGGCCTCGTTTAGATTGTAAATTTTTGTAATCTGGATATTGTAGCACATTTCGATTGTATTTGACAAACTTTATCCGATCATGAACTAACTAGGCTCAAAAGATTCATCTCGTGATTTATAACCAAATTGTGCAATTAGTTATTTTTTTACCTACATTTAATGCTCCATGCATACGTTCAAAAATTGATGTGATAGAAAGAGTGAAAAAACTTGGAACTTTGATGTCATGTAAACAAGGCCCTGCTGGATCCGCCCCAGCAGGCATAGCTGCGTTAGAGAAATCGAAGCAACGGTGCGTTCGAGTGTTAATTAGGCCCAGAAAAATGGTTAGTGACTAGATAGGCCTGGCCCACAGGCCCAGGTAGGCGGTAGCTGGCAGCCCGGTTAGTGCGACAGCCCGCGACGACAGCACGCACTGCTTTCGCCGTCCAACGAGGCAACGATCGTGTTCGCGCGCAGTGGCACTGGCAGTGCATCTGCGCAAGACTGCAAGTGCTACAGAGGGCTCTCCAGCCGTCCACTGTTCGGGAGTCCCCGTAGGCCATAGCGCACGCAGAGATGGCATCTTGCGCATGCCCTATGGCGTACGGAGTACTCTACTCTTCGTCACGTTCGCTTGACTTATAAGCCATATTTTTTCAGCCAACAAACAGTACAACCGTATTTTCAACCATAACTTATCAGCCGAGCGCACTTCTCTCGTCGCCGGACGTGGAGCACCCGGTGCGCAGCGGGTCTGTCCCTCTTTTGCCTTTGAGCTGGTGGGGGCGCCGCGGCGTCATCACCGAGCATTTTGCTTGCTTGCGTCGCGCCTTGCCATCGGAGCCTCGGGAGAGCGGCAAATCCACAACAAATGTCTGAAATGTTGCCTGCCGCGCAGCGCGCCGAGAGAGAGAGAGAGAGGAGCCGGAGGCGGAGTAGCGCGGCCGCTCGCTGCTACTGCCAGGCCTGGGCGTGCTGCGCGCGCGCGCGGGCGGGCCTTTCGAAACCCTGGCTGCTTACCCTGCCCTGCACTGTTCGGCCTACCTGGTGTCTGCCCGTACCACAGCATGCCGCCCAGCCCTTATTTAGATCACCTTCAAATTCTAAGCCCTTGTTTAGTTGGGTGAATTTGGATTTTGGGCTACTGTAATATGTTCGTTTTTATTTGGCAAATAGTGTTCAAACATGGACTAATTAGGCTCAAAATGTTCGTCTCGCAATTTCCCACCAAACTGTGCAATTAGTTTTTATTTTCGTCTACATTTAATGCTTCATGCATAGGCTGCAAACATTCGATATGACAGGTACTGTAGCAACTTTTTGTACTTTAGGGTCCAACTAAACAAGGCGTAAGTTTTTTCA